ACCTTAAACACAACTTGTTATAACGATTTTTGCCTCCTAACTCCTACATCCATGAACATGTTCCCCACATTTTGTTAAGTACCTGGCATATAAAATCATATTGGTTTCATAATCCGTTTAGACGCTTATCCTAGTTCTGTCCTTTTAGCACACGGAAAGTATCTGTTTTAAAGCTCGGTCTATATACGAGGTGGTTGCCATCCACCATTAACGCTGTTTAGAAAAGTAGAAAAAGTGAAGAAATGGCGAGCTTAATAGTACAAAGACAATTTAATTGGTTAACAAACATTGCAATTATGTCCTCACATTCAAAAGTGTCGCAAAATTTGGGGTTATGACGGATCCATATATCATATTGTTGAATGACATCGATTTGAATTTGTTTTTAATCGTTTCCTGCGGGACAGTCTCCCATCGCCTAACTTTGGCGCACCAAATAGATGCACTATATAGAGTTGGTAATTAGTACGAGATACTTGAAAAATTATCATAAAACGCACAGTTTCTGTAGTCATTATTATTGTGTGTGTGGTTGACTAGATTATTGTTAACCAAGCAGCTCATGGAGTCGTGCATAACCGGAGACTGCGACATGTGCTATTTCATAGCAAATCATCTTTGGTAAAGACAAATTTCTCTTGACCTTGAGGGGCTTTCTGTTACAATAGTTATTGTTGCTCTTAGCACCTAACTGGAAGCTTTATTGCTTTACCCCGCTTGCTAATGAACACTAGTTATTTTCCACATGTAGTCCACTATATGTTTTTATTCAATTACACACTTGTTCAAACCCTATGGTTACCGAATTTTGCTAATGGTCCGAGTTATTAGCAATTGCGTAGGAAGTACCGGCGGTATTAACACTTGTAAAGGCAATTAGCTGAGACAATGCTGTAAGGACAATTCAGGTACTTCACTTAGTTTAATAGTTTGCGAGTTAGCTAATTACTCACTAAAACTCTCCACCTTGCGTAGAACTAACCCTTATCTCTATGCCATTTCAATACATGCGCTTTACAAAGCCAGTATGCAAAAACAAGGCACGTATTTATTCTGGACATAGACAGTTATACTTCCAAGTTACGTGTTCACCCCGGGAAGCTTGCATCTGGTTAACATTGTGAGTGCCCAACACAGCTTTTCTTCTCGAGTTCAGCTACATTAGTATCGTCTCAATGCTGCCAGCTTACGTTATTTCACACTATTAGTGAATATCGAAGATGTGCGAATATGCAGAAGTTCGCTCGCCATATCCACTTGGAACAGCAATTGATGCATAGTAGGTATAATAACTATCACAAAGTATCCCGTATAACTGCAGTTTTAACAATTTTCCTTGACCTGGTGCAGAGAAGTAAGTAAGCTGCTCAAAATCAATGACTGAAACGTCTACACCATTCTTACTATGCGATGTAGACTCAAGGGTTGGACATTGTGCCTGCTTATACTGTTTACGCGGATTATAGAAACATACTTTTAGGAGCCTAATTTTCTTATGGGGAAATAAATAGCACTGGTAGCAGTCAATGGCCTCAAATTTGGGTCGAACTTTGTGAATATGATAACAGAGATTTCACAAGTAACCTTGAAAATCCAGATCCATAACCTGAAAACTTACCCTAATATATGCAGGATCTCAAGAAAATCACGTACGAACTAACCGTGTAAAGCATGGGGCAATATCCATGGGCTTTTCTTTTAGTAAATCACATTTTACCGTGAGATGCTTTCAAAATACTTTCAACTCGTTTCATATATGGTTGTTAGCCGTTAGCATAAAACATCCCTCCTCTAGCGTGAGTGATGAAAGTCTGGGAAAGACAGTAATTTCGCTTTCATGTTTGGCCTGATAGCATGTTGCTTACCAAATGCTTCCTGTTCAACCATCGTCCGCGCTTCACCTAGTAGTGTGTTTACTAGCAATATTACACCGCCGACTAATGTCTACTTTAGAAATGGGTCACCGCTTGGTTTCAGCGATGAAGCGAGTCCTGGTATTGTCATACATTCACATACTTTTGGCGCTGGACATCAACCTGCACGCAATCGAAGTCGCTGATTCTCCCAGTGAAGAATTCGAAGTAAGTGGCAAGATGTACTCACCACTGCACCGCTATACAACCATGTTATCACTATCGCGAGCTTCAGAAGCAATGACGAACAATCGGTCTTAGACCTTGTGTTTATCAACTAGGAACCAGTGATTAAGTTAATAAACTTAAGTGCACCGCCTAGACGCAGCGAATACGCGACACTGCTCTTTCGTTACACTTGCAAAGCTGGATACGCATGGGAACATAGCAAGAGAGTACACCTCGTCATCCATTAGGCTACACAGCCTGGACTCGTTCAGGAAACAAACCGGTCCTCTCTAGATGAGCAGCCTTCCGACGCCACTTAGAAGGAATTTGGCAACCTGTTCGACGGGCTACTGGTAAATGCGTCGGAAGACAAAGTCTTTCGTCTGAAGCAAGCGAATTACTTAATGAGGAGCCAGACTCGAAAATGCATGGATCTAAGAGACACAGACTAGTAGGTTCATAAAACTTCTCCAAGTGTGCAGGCCTGAGATGCTTACATAAATCCAGGAAAACATTAAGTTAAGTTGATCCACGAAGACAAACTCAAACACCAACAACACCTAGCGAGGAAATTCAGTGTTAATCTTACAATACTGTACAAGCAAGTAAACCAGCTCTTAAGAATGTAGGGCATAAACCGTTCTACGTACAGTGGATTGACCGGCGAACACTACAAAAATGTGGGCAACGAGCTTCGTCAACATTTCATCCGCATGTTCCATGATGAATCAGTAACACCATTTCTGGATTCAGCTCACTCCCTCCCCAGGTTGTAGCTCCGTATCGTTCACCGTAGCGAATGTGATGAATCACTATTAGCAACAGTTCAATGTGGCGAAATGCAAAAGTGTAAGCATACGCCATCGGTGTGCTTAGGAATAGCGACTTTAGAGTCGGCAGTTGCTACGTGCACCCTAAAAAATTTATTTCGTGCTAATCGTACAGGATAAGTTTGGCAGCTCGAAACAGGCTGAAAAGGCATTGAAAATATATAGTCCGCACCTTTTACTCTTGGGGAGAGCTTTCGGAAAGTTTGTGTTATCCATATGGCCATAAATGTTGTACGCTTATACCAGGCCACATGTAACGTATGCTATTCAAGCCTGGTGTCCATAGAGCACACACGATATTAATGTGCTCCGCAGCATGGATCGACTAAATTTGTCCACGTTCCCTACCAACGTAAATTGCAAACCCTGGGATTGTACAGCACTGCATATAGGTGACCGTGAGGATATCTCATCATGGTGTAACTAGTACGAGCAGAGTCAAATCATGCCTGTCGTGACCAGTTGCGACGCAGTCAAAATACTAAACTGAGAGATAACTAGCCCAAGCTTGCGACGCATCACAGTAGACTTAATGGTCGACGAAAGGCATTCTACCTGCAAGTATCCAGAATATGGAACGCACTTTCAACATGTCATTTTGGACTAACATTAATGCTTTTCAAAATACGTCTTGACATACCGTTCCACTTGCATTAAGTAACATAGTCAGATAAACAGCGCAGGAAATAACCCGAAACAAACAATGTGCCCACCAGTACATTTTATAACGTAGCGGAAAAGAAACATACATCAGCGTTCTTGTGAATGTCTTGGTGAGTCACGTAAAAGCTGAATACTTCACTTTTTCAAGTAACTTTTTTCCATTGACTTTATTATCTCTTTGGTCATCCTAAGGGCGTTGTAGAGCAAACACCTTTTTCCTTTTATAACAGGTTGCTCATTGTATAAGTGTATCAAACCACGGCTACAGCTAACCACAAAGTTTCAAGAGGTAACTTCACGAAACTGTGTGAACACTACAGTCGTCTAGAATGCTGACGGAATTATTATTCTCTTCTGGTTTGCCAACCCTGGAACTCTCTTCCAAACTCAGTTGTTTCCTACCCCCCCCCCCTTGGACATGTTCAAAAATCATTCAGTTTGGCCCCATCAGTTTGTTTCCTAAGCCATGCTACTTTGGAATATTTCAGTAATAAGTTAAATCCAGATTTATGTGTCACGTAGACCTAAGGAGGCGGTACGTGCTTGAACATTTGTGTTTAATTTTGTCACGGAGTTCATCAACAATAACTGCACCAATATGATCTTGGTTGCTTGCATTCAATTCTCATTTGACACTGATATTATGCAGCAGAGCATTTGCTCGATAGACGGTCAGACAGATAACTCTCAAATGTTTGCAGTTGCTGTTTTACCCTGCCAGCCCACGGTAGTTGTCAAGCAACTGCTATTTTACCCGTGAGCAATAATTGTTCATAGTTCATTGAGTGAGTACATTCTTGCTTGCTTTTAAGTCGGAAGCATTCAAAACGGTTATTATTGCAAAGTTGAAAAGCAAACATTGAATAAATTACTTTTTTCCGGTTTCATAGTACAACATTCCTTAACATCAGCGAAAAGGAATCTATTACAGATGTGGTTCTGCAAACGTGTGATTTGTTTTATTCACAGTCAAACTGCAAAATATCAGCGTTGATTGGTGCATTGATTAATCTTCAAATATTTGTTCGTTTTCAAAGACGGTAACTACTGAGTTCTTTCTGAAAACGCGTTTTCAGACGTGCATTTTGACTCAACTTATTTGATTATGACTACTAGATTATTTTACATCCATTAGCAGTGAGCACCGGGTGTTTAGTTTTATGCTTGTTACGAACCGCGGAAGAAACACAAAGGTAACTAAGGCAACGAAAAGCTAGTGGTTAAAATTTCTGTAATGCATTAACCAGTTTGTGCTTGATCGGTACATGTGTTTAAAGAAATGCAAAGTGGGAGGGTTGGCAACGGCAGCTTCATTAGAAAAAGAAGCATTAAACCTCTCGGTAATAGTAAGTATTGACCATAGTATATACTTCTGAATTGAAAGAAAATACTTGTTCGCCTAAAGAAAAAAGTTTGTCATTCTTACTTGTGCCGTCAATGATATTTGATTCCTCTTGCTCCCAGCTTGTCATTTTTCTATCGATAAATGGAAGATCTTCATGCATTAATTTAATAACATATATTATTTTTCCAAAGCTAACATCCTAGTTTTGTGAAGCATAATGGTTATCATGCATATACTGTTAATAATTTCTAGGTGGCAGTATGTAGAATACCTATTTTTCTGTTCATTGCTCTCTGGTAATAGGGAACCAGATAAATTAGGAACCTTTCCAACTAATTTCCATTATTATATCCGGGACGGCTTAGTATCTAGTAAGTCGTTTCGGCATAATGAGCAAGGTGGTGTTCGCGTT